CAATCCAACTCGGTTCATACGGTATGACGTTGACTTGCCAAGGGTCAGAGTCCAAGGGTTCTTCGAAAATAGATGGCTGGGTCAGTATTCCTACTGGAATCACCCTCGCCAATGTTTCACCTGAACTCGAAGCACTACATGCTAGCCGGTCCACATCTGCATTCTGTTCCCTCGGTAACTGTATGAATTCAATCTTTGCAAAGTCCTTGGCTTTATGCAGAACGGCAGAACGATATGCCCCCATCGTGTCATCCTTGGTCGCGTACTCACCATTTACCTGCCGAACAATCAGCTGCGAGTCACTATACACAGTCAAACTTTTGATCTGTAGCTCTCTGGCCAACTTTAATCCATTTAGCAACGCCTCGTATTCCGCTTCATTATTGGTGGCTCGGAACTCAAGTCTGAGTGCTTGACTCAAGGAAGTACCCTCTGGGATTTGTAGTTTGATCCCAATTCCAGCCCCCATCTGGTTAGAGGAGCCATCCATAAAAAGTTTCCAAGAGCCGCATCTAAGGCCTTCCGTATCCTCGGCATCACATTCTAGCAGGAAATCGGCCACCGCTTGCCCTTTAACAGTTGTTCTCGGCTCATACGTTATGTCAAATGAACTCAACTCTATGGCCCACTTTGTCATTCTGCCCGAGAGCTCTGGCTTGTGCATAAGCGTTCTGATTGGAAAAGTTGTTAGAACAGCTATGGGGTGGGATTCAAAATAATGCCTCAACTTTCTTTTTGCATTTACAAGTGCAAGTACCACCCGTTCGGCCTTTGAGTATCTTTGTTATGCCTCTGTCATTGTTTTGCTTACATAAAATACCGGGTATTGCACCCCTTCCTTGCAACGAATCAGAACGGCACTTGTCGCCACACCAGATACTCTAAGATATAGAAATAACTTTTCTTCCGGATCTGGGGCTGACAGGACTGGTGGATTCTGCATATATTCCTTCAAATGAGTCAATGCTTGTCGTTGCTCATCCCCCCAGACCTGCCTTCCATGGCTCCGAATCGTGTCAAAGAACGGCTTGCAGTGATCTGACAATTTTGAAATAAATCGACTTAATGCAGCTATTCGTCCTGTGAGGGCTTGCACCTCTCTGATCGTCTTTGGCTCGGCATTCTTAATCAAAGCCTCTGCTTGAGCGGGGCTAACTTCGATGCCTCTGCGGTTGACCACGTGTCCCAGAAACTGTCCGGAACTCACACCGAACGAGCACTTGGTTGGATTGAGCCTCATCCCATATCGCTTCAGTACATCAAATACATCTTGCAGATGCTTCAGATGATCATCCTTCTTCCTACTCTTTACCACCATATCATCAATATAGGCTTCCACAATCTTTCCCATTTGATTCTTAAAAATTTTGCTAACAAGTCTTTGATAAGTTGCTCCCGCATTCTTTAGTCCGAAAGGCATAACTTTGTAGCAGTATGTTCCTCGCTCGGTGACAAAAGAAGTTTTTTCTTCATCTGCGGGGTCCATAGGGATCTGATTATAACCTGAATAAGCGTCCAGAAAGGTTAAACGCTCATACCCGGTGGTGGCATCCACCATTTGATCAATCTTAGGCAGCGGGAAGCTGTCCTTCGGACAGGCTTTGTTCAAATTGGTGAAATCAATGCATACTCGCCATTTCCCATTCTTCTTCTGCACGACAACGACGTTGGACAACCAATCAGGGTAGTGCACTTCTCTGATAAATCCCGCATCAAGCAACCTATCGACTTCTTCCGCTATGATTTGATTACGTTCTGGAGCAAATCTTCGCTGCTTCTGTTTCACTGGTTTGAAATTGGGATTGACATTCAGGGAATGACAGGATACGGAGGGACTAATTCCAGGCATGTCTAGGTGACTCCATGCAAATACGTCGGCATTGTGGGACAAGAAATCCACTAGCTCTTGCTGCTCTTCTCTGGTCAGTCTTATACCTACTCTGGTAGTTCGTTCTGACCTGGACTGATCGATCTGCACATCCAGAAGGGGCTCCTCAGTCAAGTCGACTGACTCCTCCACCCTGTTCTGCTCGGGCGGAGGTTCCTGTAATTGCTATCTGGGGCTTGCCGAACGGACGGGCGCCTTCCCTTTCCCAGCATACTTTAGTGTGACGGAATAACACTCTTTGGCTGCAACCTGATCCCCCCGAATGTCTATCACTTTATCTCCATCGGGTCCGAGGCACCTCATGACCTGATGCAGAGTTGAGGGTACACCTTGGACTCTGTGAATCCATCCTCTTCCCATCAGGAGATTATACGAGGGGTGAATTTCTACAACCACAAAAGTTTCCATAAGAGCCCGTTCTGCAGCTTGAACTTCTACTTCCACCATCCCGACGGGCTCCACCCTCTTCCCATCGAACCCTAACAAGGGGTTTCCAGTGGGCTTGAGCCTCTCTGGTTTAATCTCGAGCCTATCAAATGTGTCCCTCGGCATGACATTCGCACTGCTCCCAGGATCGATCAGAACTCTGCGCACCAAGCAGTCCGCCACTGTCAAACTGACTACCAACGGGTCTTCATGGGGCAGTTGAACACGCTGCAGGTCTGTCCAGTCGAACTTTATCTGCATCGACGGGCTCTGCTGGTGTAGAGTATTCACACTGCTGACCCTTTTCTTCATCTGCGCCTGCCGCAGGCGCGCCCGGAGTAGCTCATCTGACTCTTCACTGGGCTCGGGTCGACCATGGATAGCATTGATTATACGAACTGGTTGTGAATTGTGGGAGCTTTGTTTATGACTCCTTTTTATTTGTTCCACCGGTCGATTCTGCTCTATCGCCGAGCCTTGAACATAACTCGCGAACTCCCCTCTAGCTATCAACATCTCCACTTGCCTCCTCAGGTTCCTGCATTCGTTAGTCTGATGACCGAAATCGGAATGGAAAGCACAATGTTTAGTTTGATCCCTCTGTTCGAGGGGTTGCCTAATTGGCAGTGGTGGATGAAACTTATCTTTGTTCTCCTGATACAGCCTCGCCAGAGTGACCTTCAGCGGAGTAATCAGCTCTTCCTCCCTGGACCTTTTTTCTGCCTTCCAAGAGGTCTGACGTTGCGGCTGAGCCTGCTTCTGCCTGATCTTTGCCTTGGACTTTTCCTCGGTCGACACGAGTGACGCTGTCCGAGCATTAGCTGCCTCCTCTTCTTCTAGGCGCACAAAGCCATCGGCTCTTTCATTGAGTTCATCCATAGTAGTCGGCGTGTTCACTACCAGACTGGTGTGAAACGGAGTTCCACGTGTCATGGCTAACTTGAAGGCTTGAACTGCTGTAGAAGGGTGGCATTCGATCACCATACTCTTAATGAGATTAAACCTGGTAAGAAAAGCCTGGAGACGTTCATCCTTGTGCTGCCTCATCGTGAATAGGCTCGAGATGTCCTTCGGCGGACGCTTGTTCCCATAGTACTGGCTTATGAACCGATCGCACAGGTTTCTGAAGCTACCAATGGAGCTCCTAGGCAAGTTTTTGAACCAGCTAAGCGCCGGTCCGGCTAGGCTTGTAGGGAAACATTTGCACATTAAAGAGTCGTTTTCCGTATTCAGGGCCATTTTCAACTGGATATGGTACACATGATCGATCGGATCGGTTGTTCCGTCAAACAGAATAAAGACTGGCATAGCAAACTTCCTTGGATGCGGGGCATTCAAGATCTCGTCGGTGAATGGTGAATCAACCGTCCGAGTTGCGGATCGGAGAGCTTCATTCTCTCTCTGGAGTCCAGCGGTAACTTTGTAAGTTACGGTTCTGCCCTCCGAACCGCGATGAGTGATAGTAGCCATGGAGGGCCGGTAAGACGGATCGAACGACCGTTCCTCTATGAACTCTCTTTGCCAAGGCGACGCTACTCGACGGCGATCAACCTCTATCACTTCCTCTCGGTCGAACCTTTCCCGATGCGGATCGAAGGTTATGGCTTCATTCCGTCTAATCTGCTCATGTCGCGGATCAACGTGAGTCGATCCTTCGTGATCCTCAACTCGACGAACATTTGGCGGCAAATTGTCCATCATCCTTTCATCACGGTGGTGAGTTGACTGATTGTTCTCGTCCTGCTCGCGTTGACACGCGATATTAGATTGAAGACCTCCTTCACCGACCGGAGGTGGATGCGAAACCGCAGGTATTTGCCGATGTTGCATTCCAGCTTTCAATTCTGCATTCTCTTTTTTGAGAGCTTCAATCAAGTTCATCAACTCCTCAAGCTTTGTTTGCTGGACAGCCTCCATCGGATTGGAGCTTTCACCTATCATTATTCCTGAACGAAATAAAGGCATTAATCTCAAGTTCGCGAGTAGATCCGAGCTTCGTGAGTGGGAATTTTTCAGATCTGGTTTCGAATTCTCCGAATTATGCTCACCGTTTACGAGATCTGAATTGTCTGAACTCTAAATCCGTCAGATCCTGCCACAATCGAACAACTCGTTGTTGCGTAGATCTGAAGCCACTTCTGCCAAAGCTTCAAGAACTGTAATTCCTCCAGAGTAGGTCACAATCGCTCAGATCTGGATCCAAATCCCAAAGATCGAGTCTCGATCAACCGAATTGGTCTGAATCCACTCGATATTCCTCAATGATCAACCAAACTTCCATGCGTTTCCCACAGACGGCGCCAATTGAAGATGCAAGAAATTCATACTCTCTTTCTCTCTCTAGAATTCTTACATTTCAACAAAAAGATCCTCCAATTCTTTCCCTTCCTTCCCTTATTTATAGATATTTATAAGATATTTACAAATATTGACGGATTGCTGGATCTGGGCCTGTTCCTCCATAAGTCCTGGTCACCTTTGATGGGCTTATTTGCGTTCGGCCCATATGGCAGTGTCTTTTTATGGGCCGAACCAGCTGTACGGACCGGATGTAGTGCTTGCAAGTCAGATCCAGCCCATGTCGTCCTGGGCCTCCTCACAAGTAGAATCCATCCAGACAAAAAAAAATTTAATAAGTACCGTATAAAAATAATTTATAATTTACCTTTAAAATGTATCTCTTAATTTCTTCAGATAATAGTACTTTAAATTCAGCCTAGAACCCCCGTCCACAAAACTGCCAAAAAACGTACAAACATAGTAACAAACAATCCACAGTATTGTAGCCTTCCACAACACCCACAATGAAACTTGTTTCTCATGCAAAGCCTTTAAGCCATGCATCTACACGTGTCAATACCCCTCCTCTTTTTAACCACCACACCAAGCCCCTCTTTCTCTCACTCCACTTCTCCTTTCTCTCTCTAGAAAACACCCCCATTTTCTCTCTCCACCAAGCTCCCACTTCCACCCATGGCTGACCGTGACCGCCCTCACCCACACCAGCTCCAAGTCCACCCACAGCACCGCTATGACGGTGGTCCCAAGTCCTTCCTCCCCCAAAGAGGCCCATCAGCCACCCAAATCATGGCAGTCATCACCCTCCTCCCCATCGGCGGAACCCTACTTTGTCTCGCCGGACTCACCCTCGCCGGCTCACTCATCGGACTTGCCGTCACCACCCCTATTTTTGTTCTCTTCAGTCCGATTCTCGTCCCCGCTGCCATTGGTGTCGGCTTGGCTGTCACTGCCTTTCTGGCTTCGGGAGCTTTTGGGGTGACGGCACTGTCGGCTCTCTCGTGGTTCGTAAAGTGCCTCCGGCAAGGCGTTGATTCATTGCCGGAGCAACTCGACCAGGCAAAGAGGCGCATGCAGGATATGGCTATCCAAATGGGCCAGAAAACTAAGGATGTGGGCCAAACGATCCAGCAGAAGGCCCAGGAATCTGGCAAAACTTAGGTCCACGAAGATTGAAGAGGCTATATATTGGCCATATGCGGAAAATGGTAATGGCAGGAAATAATGTACGTTTGTTTTGCAAGTGTATGAATGAATTTTTTTGTTTTGTTTTGTTTTTTTTTTCTCTGGTTCCATTGTTAATTACCGGTATCTGTTTCTTTTTTGTGGCCTCCACTGGGTCATTGCCTTTCCATTTTATTTTTTTTATAAAATTAATTCCTAAAAGATAACGGGAATCTACAAATAATAATAATAATCATCAAATCCAAATAAAATAAATATATAAATGAATAAAATAAAAGTGCGTCTAATTTTTTTAATTATTTTTACCACCAAAAGTGAGTCTAAATAAAATAGAAGTACAAATAGATAAAATAAAAGAGGAATAGTTTGGATAGAAATTGCACAGATCTCTGAATAGGACTAGCACAGAGTCACGAGTTTTTGTAAACCAAAATAAACAGAAATAAAATTGGTTTGATTTAATCATTTAACAATTACATATGGTTTATTTAAGATTACGAATTTAAATAGAGTTGTTAATTAGAGCAGTGGCAAAAAAGGCCCATGTCAATGTTGAGTTTAATACTCTTTACCTACAATCATTCCTTTTAATCATCCAACTAATACATTAAATTTCTTGATAATCACAGCAATTCAAGTCATTGTGAGATTCTACAAGTGATATAATATAATTATCTTAAATATATACACAAAAGTAAGCTCGGATTACCTACTTGATTGGCATGCATTATTTTTATGTAGCTAAAAGTAGTGTAAATCACAAACAAATTAACAAAATGCATAGCTTTTATAACTGAAGTCATGCAAATTAAAAATGAATTAAGAAATATATAGAGGTTGGGTTTTGACAGAATCACACAAAATCGCTAATCCCTCCAATCCCAGGAAAATGAAACAAGACTTGCTCCAACCCCAAAAGGCTATCGCCATTGTGAAGTCTCTGGGGAGAGTCGGGGCGATCGCCACTGTGAAGTCTGGGAGAGTCAAATATATGCAGTCTGGGGAGAGTCAAATATATGCAGCCTTATGCACGAAGAGAGGAGGTCCCACAATGGAGCAATTAGACTAGGGATTGAACATCCTAACTGCCTAGATGATAGAAGCACAAACAACAGGATTCTGAGAAACTATAAAGATGTAAATTGACCATAGAGACTACTAAATCTAATCAAACCAGAAGCTAGACATTCATTGAACAGGATTCTGAGAAACTATAAAGATGTAAATTGACCATAGAGACTACTAAATCTAATCAAACCAGAAGCTATGAAAGATGGACATTCATTGAGATACATATTCAGAATGTCCTCCGGCTTCAGGGTCCCCGGTTTCTGTCTTTGAATTGTTGGGTATCCAAAATGTGAGAACGGAGGATGCAGCAACGAACATGACCCTGCGCGGCGCCCATTTCAGGCAAGATGCAACGCCTATGTGGCTGTCCCAGCATGCAACCTGTTGAGGACATCCATAAATGTTAAGAGCAAAGCATTGGCAATCAACAACAACCAAGCCTTTTTCCGGCTACATGAATCCTATGTTTATAAGTAAGCATCTTTCAGAGAATGTGACTCTAATTAATCTTTAACTAAATCCATTTCTTTTGTCACCATAGCACCATCGTTGTATCTATTAAGATGTGATAATTATTAACTTCAGAACATGGGAGAGAATTTAAATTGCCTATTACTAGCATCAAGGTTTATACAGCTAAACTATTAAATGCATGTCTAGAAGTTTCTTTACAAACACAATATCTTCAAGCATTATTTTTGGTACCCATCATTTTTAACATAATAATTGAATTCTACTAGATCTACCAAGTCTGAATAGAAGAGAAGAACAAAGACAATGATCTATTAGTTTCTACCAGTTGTCATCTTATTCCTTCTCCTCCTCCTCCTTACATGTATAAATGTGCTAAAGCTACCAGCCTTATAGATCATGTGGAATTAATTTGTCATGAAATAATGGGTAAAAGCAATTACTTACAAAGAAACTTAAGCCTAATAATTTTCAGTGAAGGCAAAAACCTCAAAGTTGGGAGTTATAACAAACATCAAAATACTCTTAATGGTGATCCATGATAAGGAGTTAAGGCAGATGCCTTTGGCAGCTGCAACTTTGTATTGCTTTTCGGCGCAGGTGCCCAGGTAGTAGAAAATATTCACCAAAGTAAGACTTTATGAATGAAAAGGAGCTTTTAATTTTAAAAGTTCCTCGAGTGCAAGTGTTCTAATACATTCATGACACGTCTCCAAGCAGCCAAAATCAGTTTTTTCTTTTTCCGTTTTTTTTCAATTTTTAGGGGATTGTATAGTTCAAGAAGCCAAACTTGTGGCCGGCAATGACACGTCACTTGCTAAGGCTTCATCTGCAAACCTCTGGGTTTGCGGGCCATCCAAATTGAATATAAATCCTCACATGATAAACTTAGTTTGGTGGGTTGGGGGGGAACCCTCACATGATAAGTAGAATTCCTATGATTCAGCTTCAATTATATTTCAGCCACCAATGCCAGCTTAGAGGCAATGTATCAATCCACAAATTCAACCCAAAAAGAGGGGAGGAAAAAAGATACAAATGGAGTTTAACTGGTCCATGTGGAAACAACAATGTTACATCACACCATGTAGTAGAGAGGAAGATACTGAAGGAGAATTTTACAATTTGAAAGAAAAAGTAAAAAATAAAAGAAAGCAATATCTGGAAATACCAAAGACTCTCTCATTGGCAAGGAGCTCAACCCACAAATGATCTTTCTTTTCCAAATATTAAATTCTGTTCGTAGCTAAAAAAATATGTTACTATGGTATTTCAATTTCCCATGATCAAAAAAGTGAAAGAATAAAAGAAAGCAATAACTGGAAAAACCAAAGACACTCTCATTGAAAAGGAGCTCAACCCACAAATGATCTTTCTATTCCAAATATTAAATTCTGTTCATAGCTACAAAAATATGTTACTATGGTATTTCAATTTCCCATGATCATGCCCCATATAACAAATAAAAAAGTTGATTTTGCAACATGTACGGTCAGGTGCCCTCTAATAATCTGAAAATTTCTATTCGGATGATGACTGAGATAGAAGATACCTTATTTCGTGTGCTAATGCTCCAAGCATGCAAATTTCCATCCCCTGAGCCTTTTATCATAGAAAATAACTTATCTCAGTTCTAATTTGTCAAACAGAATGCAGAATTCATTCAAGAACAGAATATGTGCTTCATGTGCACATTTATCAATCTATCACACTCGAATATTGTTGGGTAAATAAATTAGCATATTAATCATTTTTTCATACATTTCAACATATGAAACCATACATAAAAACACATGAATAGAAAAGGCATAGCTCACTGAGCATATATTAAGACATAAGAGGCAGAACCAACAAGCATTGGTTCCAATTATGTGCAGTTGACTTTATGGATCAAACTATTATCAACCATGGGTGGATATAAACTGTCCAGAACAGACTAGTATAGTGCCTGGACGTGGCTAGGCTCAAGTTAGGACCATGTTCAAGCTAGTCAGCTAACCTTGTTCAAACTCGGCTTGGCTGAATTTTACAAGCTTGAGTTGGTTCAATTAAACCAAGCATTAGAAAAGTGAAAAGAAATACCAAATTTCTTTCGAGACTACGAGATAAGAGAGTTACAGGTGCTCAAACTCAACCGAGTGAAAAGTTATCAGACACGCTAAAGTAACACATTCACTATTACCAGACACGCTACCTCAACAAGAGTCTGGAGGAGAAAACAAAGGAAAAGAGAGAAAGGGGAGGGTGGACCTTACAACTTATTTAACTAAATGAGCCAGTTTATAGATGACATAAAAAACATACTCGTAAATGACAATTCTATATGCGGAAATAATATAATCAAACAAAAGAAAAATCTCTGTAGGAATAGCAGCAGAAACATCCAAGAAAATAAATCAATATAATCTATAACTGTGATAAAAGATTCAAAAACAAAAATCAAGATGAACTGCTTGCTACCTTGGTTCTCACATAAACAAGTGGTGTAAGAACTGAATACCTGAGACCACATATTGGCCGTCTGGAGTAAATGTTGCTTCTATTGTTGTATTTGGAGATGGATCCAAACTAAACCCACACCGCTGCACCAGAAAAGTTTATATTAATTAGGTTTAGATTCAATATTCCCACAAACAAATCAAACTCAAGTAGAAATATAGATCTGACTTCTGAGAGAACACAGACACAACTCTGACTTTTGAGAGAACACAGACACACAACTTGGCAGGCAGATTTTGAGAAGATATAACACAATCAAAACTAACCTTCTCCCCCCCATACGCATCAAGAACGTAAATGATGTTACTTGTGGTTGTCAAAAGCATGGATTTACCATCATTACTGAATTTAATATCACAGACCTCAGCTGTATCTCCACCAACTAAGAAGGTATCAAAGGGACCCTAAACATAGGAAGAAAAAAAATCATTCTTACAACATAGATAATGCTAAAATGCAAGTTACTGTTTTATAGGCACAAAACCTTATCGTAAGACCGTGAATCAAACAACTTGATAGCGCCCCCTTCCATTGCCACTGCAAATACGAGGCCTTGTTGGTCAAAAGCAACTGTAGGCCTACCTCGTAGACGTAAAATTCCCTGAAAACTACAACAACAAGCATAAATCAAATCACGTATTTATTTTAAAAAGGAACACACAGTACCATTATGAAACTGCCCACCAACCATCCAACTTTACTTTTCCTTCCAGTTCAACTATTAATTGTTGTGTGCCAAGATAGTTTTATTTGATAAAAATATTCAAGTTTCAAACTAGCATCAATATATGATCTACATGCATCAGTCAGTTTCAAAATCTATTTGAAATTGATGTACAGATATAGTCAAAGGTGACATTTACAATAAAATTCCTTAACTGCAATAAATGAAGCTGAATCAACTTTTCAGCTTTCATTACAAGTCAAGAAAAACTCTTAAATTTCAAAGTTATCATGCAATATTTAAGGCCTGTCATATTACCTGTGCTGTGGACACCAGTGGCTTTTAATTCCTAGACTGAACTCCTTACTTATTCTAATAACTTTGGTTAATTATTCACAGCCCAGATTTTGCATTTGCTTCAAGAGACACAGAAAACTAACCTGGCAGGCATTTACACGAAGATCCCATATCCTGACACTGTGGTCAAGGGAACCAGACATAAAGCTGTCATTAACTGGAGACATGCAGAGGGACACAACCCTACAGCCAAATCAAACAAGCAAACTGTTGTGACAAATGCAGCAAACCAAAAACAAATCCTGAAACACAACAGAAAAGTAAACACACCACACACAAAGAACACAAAGATTTGTCACTACACCCACGGTGAAGATCCGGTGAAAGGTTTCACTATGCGAAAATCAGGAGATTACAAGTTTCAGCCCCAAACCCTAGCTCTCGCTCTCACTCCCACTCTCACTCTCACTCTATTCTGTGATTTCCAGTGTCTCATAATCCCACTCCAAACCCTAAACGCCCTTATATATCAGGCTACAAGAGAGTACTAAATAGGTCTACAACCCGCAAGCAAAAGGGGGTCAAAATGGCCCACCACAAAGCTCAATCATCGGGTCTTTGGGTCGAAACAGCATAACCAAATTCGGGCCACAACATCATACAAACTTTTAGAAAATAATCACGCAAATAAAATGGAAAAGGAGAAAAGTGCATTATACTAGCATTAATAACTATATTGCCAGCAACCTAAATAAATTTAAGAGCAATCCAGCAGGGGAAGGTAAAGCTGTAAATGATCATACACCAAAAAATATTGTGACCCGCTACTCTATACATCTATAAATTCACCAATGGTGTAAGAATTAAAATGTTAAAGTTACACTTATATATTATCGTATGTTTGTAGTTAAAGAGGTATGAACATAAACGAGAGAAAGATAATTGATTTGACCAAAATGTTTAACATGTTTGGTCAGAATGATGTGGCTGTCATACAAATAGTAAATGTCAACAGCAGCAGAAGTATAAGAAAATGGAAATACCTTGCCTACACATTCTACATGTTCTTTTCGGTTTTTATTACTATGACTGTTTCCCGACACTAAACTATGCACATTCTCTTTCACAATTTTGTTTACTTATAGGCAAAGCACCAAGAAAGTAAAAGGATCCAAACCTCTCCTTATGCCCTTTAAAGTAACGTAGACATCGATTATCGTACATTGATAGATACCGTAGGGATTCTGGTAAGAAAAATGAAATAAACCTCTTGTCATCATTTTTTCAAATTACTAAATAAAAGCATGCCTGTATTAACTTTGTGACGAGATGCTCACCTCCAGTAGAATCCAAATTGTATCTTGAAGAGCATATAACAGAACTTGGATGGTGGGTAAAGCATATACGATCAGCACCATGCTTCTTATGATATGTGGTCTTCAGCAACCTAAAGTTCAAAATAGTATGTGGTTAACAATAAAAATCCTCATCCACATTTCAAGTTTATGTGACAATTCAAAATACTTGTAATAAGGGGACAATTTAAATACTTTTATATTTCATCTAAAATGTAGATAGATACTCATAATATCCCGACAATACTTGGAAAGAGAAACCCTGTGGCACACCAATGGGCCAGTGGCCTAGCGGTATCGGCCACTTACTTCCCAAAGGGAGGTCAGGGGTTCAAGTCTCAGAAGAGATATGTGTGTGTGAGTACCAACTAGGAAAAAAAAAAAAGATGATACAGTTTTATAAGCAATAATTTTTCTTTTTTCATTCCATTAAAATTTTATATGATACATGAACTTTAGAATGCACAGATTTTGTACTAACTTTTGAAATCATACTTAAGGGAACAACATCACTTATTTCCAAGTTCAACCAAAAACATTACTTGCTACCATATCATTGTATACTCTCTCGTCACCTAATAAATCCCAACCCTCTTTTTCCATTAAAATAATTCAACAAGCAATAAGAGCTCTGTATGAAATTTTTTCTTATACGCATTAAACTTGTCCACCTAAAATACTAAAATTCATGTTATATGATTGATCGCAACTAAATGATGTACTTTCTAAATTAAGTAACAGCGATCTAATCCGACTTCTAAATTTAAAACTGTCATGATCAACTGCACACATAATTAGTCCATCCTATTTGCAATCCATATCAAGTCACATCCGTACACAAGAGACTAGCAGCAAACTCCATATGCTAACAATTCATTCAAGAGAGTGTGACATGATATATTACAATGACACTATAGGCCAGCATCACCATTTACTACAAGACTCTTAAAATATAATCTGTTTATATCAAAGGTACTCACTTGGCACTTGCAATGTCATAAATCCGCACTGAATCATCCTCACTAGCTGTAACCAATAGATCATCAGTACGATGAAAATCAAGTGAATTTATCTTTCCAACCTGAAAATATTTATAGATATAAATCATTGAAGAGTAAAAGCAAGATTTTCAAATCAAAGAAAAGCAAAAAACTCAAATTAAAAAAAGAATCATGTGCCTTTTCATTGCAGATTGTAACTGTGAATAAGAATATTTCAAACTTGACTCCACTCAACACAACAAAACACTTATCCAGCAATTTGGAGTTGGTTAAGTGAAGTATTTTTCACCATTCTGCTCAAGCTATGATATCTTTCTAACTATCTCATCCATTTCACTTTTGATCTTCCTACCAAGTCACCCTTTGAGTCAGTTTCTCACATTTTACTCCAATAGGCTTCTATGCATTTTTACCATTCGCATGCCAAGTTTGAGAAGTGCATGAAAACTCCTTTATTGCCCTCATTTCCAAGAAGAGGGATGCAAAGATAATTAAAAATAAATTGTATGCTGGCTATCTCCTGTTAAAGTAGTAGCTATAGCTGCACAATGCAATATGCAACACATTATTTTGAGCTCGACCATTTTATGATTACACTAATGTTGTGTTTCGGAGCACCGAATTGGCACTTTGGATTTCGAATTGGAGCAAATTTAGTTCAAAGTTTTAACTAAATTTCCTCCAATTCCAAATCCAAGCAGATTTTTTGCTCCCAAACATAGTATAAATTAAATTAATTCAAAAAATGACTTAATGACATAGGGTTCAAGCACTCCATACAAGGGAAGTTACAAATTTTATTTTTGTCTAATTAAAACATAGCTTCACAACATACCATTCGCAAGAGGAACTACAAATTGGGTTGTGTGTGATCGGAGCATCTATTACAACCTATTTTGGGTATGATCAAAGCATCTAGGGTATCAAATCATTGCTTCGCAGCATGCCATTAAAATGATTCATATGCTGAGACAATTACAATTGGTTGCGCACGAAGTGCATTGCAATTCTGAAACTGTTACAGTATTATTTCATCAGTTTTTGGCTAATTGGGTTTATGAATTTAAACTAAAAAAGGGATATACATGAATTTGTCCATCTATGCGTGTGTGTATATATATACATACAACATATATATGCGCGACAGACAGGAGTTGGTGTGTGGGGAGTGATAGGGTTTGAAACAGAAGTGAACTCACAAAATCTGAAAAGACAGCTCCGATTGACATACTACGAACAATCTCGTCGTTGAGTTCTGTGAGCGACGCCATCTGCATGGACAAATTCTAGAGAGAGACCGACTGCAAAATAATTTAGGAGAGGTTAAAAGGGAACATAGGGTTCAACGAGTGAAATTGTTGGACTGGTGCTTGTCTTTTATCATTATAATAATTATTAAGTTTTTGGTGTATTTTTCTTTTTAATGACTTTTTATTTTTAATTATTAGAGCAAACTAGGGAGAGGAGGACTCGAACCGGGCACATCTGTCTGGAGTTGACCGTTATGTTTTACCAAACAAAAGAAGTATTCTCCTTGTCGAATTTGAATGAGGAAGTAAATAATTATATATACGTTAGGTATATGTTTTAGTTCTACGTAATTGCTTTTAAGTTTTTTTAGACTGATGGCGAAATTAATTTTTTGTTAATTTTTTATTTTTTGTCAAGTTAGATTAGCAAGGGAATGCATAGGATCCAAATTTGACAATTTAATATTTGCGGGAGGCACTAATTCTTGATAGCAAATTAAGGGATCGAATTCGTAATATTTTTATTTCCTATTTCTTGTTTTCAAAAGGCCAAAAAACATAAATAGTTGAAATAAACATGTTTAATAACCTTTTTCCTATTTTTAAAATTTGGAAATATGTTTTTCAAAAGTCCAATTTTTAAGAAAAAAAAAAATTTGTTTTCACTTATTTCTAACCAAAACAAAAGTACATATTTTTACTTATTTTTAATTTATACGTTGTCAGATATCCCAAACTGAACTTTCTTTTTTTCATCATTTACATTCTATTCAAGCCTTAAGAGCATTTCTAATGACCTCTCAAGTTTGAAATGAACTCTCAAATTAAAAATATAATAATGGATGGAAATAAAGTACTCCAATAGCCTCTCAAAAGATATATCATATTTTGAGATTTTCAAATGTATTATCAAATATAACAACTCTCAAATGACATCTCAAATTAAAAATATAACAAGTGAATAAAAATAGGCACCCCAATGAGGTCTCTTAAAAAAACTTTTCATACTTTTATATTGTCAAAAATTACAAAAATAAAAATAAGGCATCCCAATGGGCTCTCAAAATAAGAAATGGTTGTTGTGTCAAAAAATAACATTTTGAATGAAATGTATTATTAAAGCAGAATTATAAAAATATAGCCTTTTAACATTATATTTCCTTTCAAAATTTTAATTTGGTATGGAAATATAACATTTTACATTAGAGATGCTATGAGCTAATCTAATCTAATCTTGGTCTTCGTCACTTAGTTTTTTAATTGAAACTAATGGAGTATTTTTAAAATTTTTAATTCACTCTCCTTGCAATAAAAAATTTAAAATAAGAATTTAAGTGAATCCAATATTTCAAAATTTATTCTCTATTATTATAATAAAAAATATAAAAAATTATCCTTGAACTATGAAATGGAGGGAAGTACTAAATAAAACAACAACAATCACTAATATTTTTTTTTGGAGTCACCAAGCAAATAAATAAATGCGTGCAAAATGCAAAGTAAAAGAAAAAAGAAAAAGAAAAAAAAAAGAAAAGACTAGTACGGGCTGGGCCTTCCACAATTCCATTCAACAAAACCCCGTCAATTGACTCAAATCTCAACAGTATCTTTCCTTTATTTTCCATTCTATGTTCTTCTTTTTCTTCTTCACAGTCCGACCACCGAACCCACTCTCACACTCTTCTCTGCACACACTGTATATGAATAATGGACTCCTACTCTTCTCTGCTCGAGAGAACTCGAGTCCCTCAACCATCACTCCAAAGATTCGCTGTAATTTCAATATTCGAAAAACTCCGATCGGCCCCTCCGCACCTGAACTCCGACTCCGGTCCGGGGAGAGAAGTCCTCACACAGTGTCTCCACTCCACCTCTCCCGCCGTCATCGACCAATCGGTTCGAGAGCTTTGCCGCCTCGTTAAGGACTCCAAATTGGAGCTCCCTCGCGGATTATTGGAGCTCCAATCCGCTCTTGAAGGATCCGATTCACGCTTCGTCAGCGTGTTCGTTAAAGGGTTAGGGTTTTTCGTTCGGCTCGGCTTTCAGAAGAACAGTTCTTCATTTCGATTTCAATCGTCAGAGAAACATCCATTTGTTAAGGCAAGTGTAATCAATTCACCACACTCTATTATACCAAAAATTCATATATGTATACTTGTATATAAGTATTTGTATGCGTGGCTTATACTCTATATATCAGTGTCCACACACAACCCTTAAATGCATTGAAATAGCAGTGTCGCACAAATTGAAGATAAAATGAGAGAAAAATGGTTAGATAGTTTGAACACTGCAACAAAGACCTTTTAATGTGCCAGTTCCAAAGAATGATATAGTCCACATTGAGAGAAATGCCAGGGGAAGAGGAAGATGAAAGATAACGTGGGTAGAGCTAGTAAAGAAGTATATGATAACACGTGGTTTGACTGAGGCTGTGGCCTTTAGCAGAGTGGAATGGAAACATAGGATTCATGTAGCCAACCCCAGGTAGCTGGGAAAAAGGTTTGTTGTTCCAAGTAGTTGGGAAACAGGGTGGTTGTTGTAGTTTATGTACAACCCTGTAGTCATAATTCATTCTAGAAGTAGATATAGTTCATGTTGTAGTTTATGTACAACCCTGTAGTAATAATTCATTCTATAAGTAGATGTAGTTCATTTTGACTATATAACTTCTATTTAACTTCACCTTATTATGCTAAATGCAAGCACATGCCTTGGAATGATTTGAAGATTGAATTTTGATGTGATGTGGGTCATTGATTTACAGGTTCTTTCTTGTCGAAATGAAGTGCAATCCGAACTTGTGAAGCAAGTACTTCTGTTTATGGTGCATAACAAGCGATTGGGAATGGAGGAAGTTTGTGAATTCTTAAGACCCTTCCTTAATTTTTCGATTTTAAAAGTACATTCTTCGGCTTCAATGTCTTTGTTTGCAAGGAACTTAATAACATCAATGGCGTCGTTTTGTTGTTCATTTCCGCTAGAGGCAATACCTGTTCTTAAGTTGCTGATGGGATATATCAAATATGTCCCATGTAAGAATGCAGAAGTAAGTTGACTTGTTGGGCATATATACTAGTATTGATTTGATTTCTATCTACGAGACAATGGTAATAGTGTTTCATTTGAATGAATAGTCTAACTTGAGACAGATAGTTTTCTTGCAACTTTTTACTTATTATTTTTCTCATACTATGATACATTGCAGGATTTTAATAATATTTCTTATATCATGGAATATACAGTGGATGCATATACCATAGTTCTAACGCACTTGGTCAGAATGGAATTGGTATAGTTATTCTTTATTTATTCGTTTTTTAAATCTCAATTCATGAATTATATGGCATCTCTTCTTTGGTTCATCATGTCATTTCATGTTCTTCCAGATTTTGTTCTTGATTTCAATAGACACAAGTATTATAATTTTCCAGATTTGTTTGGATTCACATGTTTTAATTGTTTTCATTCATATTGGCAGCTGGTTTTTGAGGCTCAATTATGTGGTGTGGAATTGCTAGAGACTATTCTTTCTTGTACAGAGCATCACAAACATTCTGACGGGCATGAGGTCATTTTTGACATATCAAAGCGCTTATTGTCTGTCCAAAAAGAGCTTAGCTTGAGTTATATACATGAACTGTCATCAGCGATATTGTCCTTATTTATGGCTCTCACTCAATCAGAACTTGAACATGAACAACTATCTATATTGAGGCTGCTCCTCTTCCTCCTGAAGTGGAAAAATGAAAATGGTACAGTTCCAACGGTTTTCTTCACCACTTTTTCTTTTATGTTTATATCATATTGGCTTTAGTTTGGTGCATCACAGTTAAAACTTTAAATATCTCCATTTCCCATTTTAGGTTTACTTTTTATGCTCTCGTGAAGAGATTGTCAATAGTTCTGATATTGTACTAAGGTGCAATTTTTTTATTTTATATTTTGATGTATGAAGGGATCAAGTAGTTACAAAGAAAATCTCTTTTTCTAGATCTCTCTCTCTCTCTATCTCCCGGTTGTTTGCTTTACCAAAAATGTCCTTTTGCACCAAATAACCCTTGCAAGTCTGGTGTCAAACCCAGAGAAATGGGAATTAACTGAATGTTTCAGTTTTGTTTTCCAGAAGTACACATAATGATATTTGTTTCAATAAATTGTTTTTTGTTTCATCAAGGCATGGATTTTGAATATTCAACCTTTGATGCCCTTGTTGCTCGGGAGTTCTCCTGAGCTGATCAGGGTGCTTGCTCTGGTAAGGAATTGTCGGCTCTCTTAGCAAGTGTTAATCATGGTCATTTCACTATTATGGTTTTTATTAGACTACGGAGCATGCTTATAGCGTTCTTCTTTTTCTTTGTTTTTGTTTTTACAGCTACATTGCTCGTTGTTGTGCAAGACATATTCGTAAAGTGAAACATCTAATGTAATGTTGGGCATCTGCAATCCCTTTTTGTGCAAGACATATTAGCAAAGTGAAAGATCCAATGTGTGTGTGTTTTTTTTTTTTTTTTTTTTTTTTGGGGGGGGGGGGGGGGGTGGGTTTATATGTCATGTATATGTGCCACAAATATTGCTTGTCAGTTTTCCAAGAAATTTAGCGGAAGAAAGTCTCATCATCATCATTAGTAGTCATTATTAGTACAATTGTTTTTGCTATTCTTATTTTGCTAATGAGTTGCAGTTTCTCAGTGATGTAGAAAGAATGCTTAACTTTTTGTTTTTTTGGGGGGGTTTTATATCATGTATATGTGCCACAAATATTGCTCGTCAGTTTTCCAAAAAATTTAGCGGAAGAAAGTCTCAACACCATCATCATCATTAGTACTATTGTATTTGCTATTCTTATTTTGCTAATGAGTTGCAGTTGCTCAGTGATGTAGAAAGAATGCGTAATGGCTATAATCACAGTTAATATGTGATCAATTTTTTTAAGAGAATGAGACATTATTTTTTCTGTTCACTTTCAATGAGTTACTGGATATGTTCTTACCACTGCTCACCTTTTATTTTCTTGATTTTACTCAGCTAACAAAAGTAACTTTCTACTTGTCTTTTCAGAATACGTTGTTGATAGTGCTGCATGTGATCTGAACGAAGAGATTTTGTTAATCTTTCCTATAATCAACCTCATAGCATCTCCTTCGAAACCTGTTAAACAAGCGGCAACTGATTTGCTCTCCATGTTGGAAAAGCTCTTAATTAATTTGTTGATTACACCAAAGAAAAAGCTGACCATGCCGGAGGGATTTCCATCTATTACCAGACCTAAAGACATAGTTTTTAGGCTTTTGCAGCATTTGTGGTTTCAGGTTTAGTTCTGTTATCCCACTAGTTAACATTTTTGTTGCAAATATTACATGGCTGCTTATTTTGTTGTCGGACAGTTCAATTAACATTTCTAATGCAAACTTGTGCTCTATATTTTTGTATATAGACGGTAGTCGTTAAATACATATTATTGTCCATTATCATGTTCATTTGATCGTGGAACATGACGACTGCTATTTCTGTTTTGGACTTCTTTCTTTTGGTTGGGGGGGAGGGGAAGAATTCTTTTAGTGGCATTAATGTCAACTATTTGCTATATGTAAAGATTTTTTTTTCCCTGAATTATTTGCTATATGTAAAGATTTCTTATTGTTTGAGTTGACTATCATCACAACTATTTCCTATCCCTCGTATTAGGGGTTAGCTGATTGCATTATATATATATATATATATATATATATATATATATATATATTAATGATCTATAAAATCATAGAACTTCAGAAATTATGGCGAGATTGATTATTTATACATTATTTGATTTTCTGTAACTGCTAAGCTGAAAATTTCATCATTCTTCATTTGTGAATTTGTTCAAACATCTCACAGCCGATGCCTATTTTTGTATTTGGTGAGGGAAGACAAATTTTCTTTGGTCGTTTTAAACTGATACATTGTGTGCTTAATCACATACCTTTTGGTGAATGTGTGGCTATCGCCAATCTAATTTCTCATACTAATTTCATGTGCTCAAGTAAATCCTTTCTATTTGATCAGTCTAGATTTCACTCTTGTGGATATAGTGCCTTATTAATTAGATGAGCTAGTATGGTATTAAAAATCTGTTTTTTTGCTGGTGGGACATTGACTGTAAAGTTATAATGTTAAGGTTTCAGTTCTTGCACATTTATTTGAGTACAATCTTGATACAATCAACAAGATGGCCATGGTCTGTATAGCAACTCATCTGATTATCACAATTTGTGTACTTCCAGTATCACAACAGGGATGAACTGAATAGCGATATGGCCTTAGCTCTTGCTTCATTACATTGAACATTGGCCAGATAGTTGGTTATATTAATAACCTTGTCTTTTCAGGATCAACACTTGTCATCCAGTTCTTTCTATCTAAATTTTGCTTCTACTGTTGAAACTGATGTAAAAGAAATTCAAGATGTACCAAAAACATGGACCTCTATACTGAGGGAGTACTCCCAATGGATTGTTGAAAGACAAAAGTCCTCATCTATTTCTCGTTCTCAGGAGATCTTTCTAACTGGTAAATACCTATTATATTCTTTTAGTGGAGTTTCTAGGTCTACAATTATTCACGTTAAATTAGTTCTCTCCTTTTGTGTTTACATCACATTAACACTGCCACATATCCTTGTAGAATTGCCTTTGTTACTCGGTACAATTGCTAGTGTTTTGATCATGCATCATAAGTTGGGGGATTCTGCTGTAGATATTTTAGCTGTTAGTGGCATTATGGATCCTAAACTTGGCGTTCCATTATTGCTTTCCATTCTTTTCTACAACAATATATTCTCTGGTAAAGACAAAGATATTGACTTCCATGACACGTCGGTGAGTTTTTCATTTGTGGCTGTTTCTCATTCCTCATATACTTATTATTACTGCTACTACTTCAATAAGATTTCTGTCAACTGTGGCTGCAGTTTAAACTCCTGGGAATTCTCCCGTCACTTGCTTCACATTCTGTAATGATACCACTCATAGTTCAAACTATCTTGCCAATGCTTCACAAGGATGCAAAACCGTGTGTTCTCTATGCCTTGGAACTACTTTTTATAGTTTACTCTACCTCATTCTGCTCTGATGTTATGTTTACTATGTTACGAGCGGAGTACAATTATCATTGATTCTTTACTCTTTTGTCATCAAGCAATCATTTAATTTCTTATGATATTCTGACTATTTCTTTGAGTCATGAACAAAGTATTTGTGAATTGTCAGATACGGTAATTTATATGTATTGTTTTAAGGATGAAGATTTCCTGCTTCATGGTAGTAGGAACTTCATCCTGTTCATGACGGCAGTCGGCAAGATCACAATCAGCCACGAATCCCATAATCACTATCCTTTCACATGATATTAGCAGCATCAATTTACTCCATTTTACAGCTCTTACATATTTTAGATAGATAAAAAAATCCTTTGAAGGTGCCAAAAGCATTGTGCAACCCATGTACATGGGAGGTATACAAATTATGCAAAAATCAACTACAGAAATTCATGTCTCTGAAGAACTTTACAAATTAATTGGTCTTAAATAGAATACGATACTACTTCCCAAAAGTATAGAGTTAGGCAAAGAATATGTTTAAGCAGCCCCATCCTCACAGAAGTACACATGTGCCTTTCCTGTCAAATGCAGCACATCAGGCAAAGGGAAGCAGCATCCTGCACCTTCCTCACTCCGTGGTGCAGACAATCCTCTTTTTAACTCCGCAGCTTTTCTGCGACTGACCTTGGTGTGAGCCACTCAATCCCAAACAATGAGAGAAGAAGGCTTGGCAACTCCTGCTCCATGCTACAATGAATAAAAGTTTCCTCTTCTGCCTTAGACATGCATCACCAATTATGAACTCTTATATTTTTCACCTCATAAAATAAGGAAAATATCTATACCTGATTACCTCCCTGAATCAATTGAATGCATTTGGAGCAATTGCTATGACATCAGATAAAAAAAAAGGCACACTGATTTTGACGAATTAGAAGGTTGTTAATGCAACAATAACGTGTGAAACTATATCCCATTAACTCCTTTTAACTGATCTTTTGTTATGAAAGTTCTTTAGAAAATATAAGCCAGCAACGAAAGTTATTATTGCCGGAAAGTTACCAAATTCAATTAATAGGGAGAGGGAAAAGAATGAAAAAGTGGATGAAGAAAAGAATGAGGGAGAATCGAAATTTAAAGTTTTCTGAGACACAAAAAGATGGAAAGCACATGGACTCATGGAGGAAGAACAAATTTTATAATTCAAATTAGTAAGACTAATACAAAATATATGATATTTAAATTGAAAAGGTTTCAAAGAATGACAATGTACAACAACAACAATCAAGCCTGTTTCCTTACTATTTGGGGTCAGCTACATGAATCCTATGTTTCCATTCCGCTCTATTTAAGGCTATAGCCTCGGTCAGCCTACATGCTAGACAATGACAATGTAACGAAAACAACTCGAGACCAAAGGGTTACTAACAAATAACCATCATTACCATCCTTTCCTTAATCGCTTATGAATAGGGTCGGCCGCATGAATTCTCTTTTTCATTCTTTTCTACTACAAGTCATCTCTTCTATAATATATAGCTAGTTAAAGTCATTTCAAGTGATCTCTTTCCATGTTAATTTGGAAGACCTCTCTGTCTCCCACCTTCTGTGCAAATTAGTGTTTTACTTTTCACCACTGCATCTATAGGTCTTCTTTATATATGTCCATACCACCTAAGTCTACTCTCTCTTATCTTCTTTAAAAACAATGGTCATATATTTGCAATGTGAATGCTAAGATGGATGATGAGAGTAACAATAAAAGATAGGTTTAATAATCAATGTGTGACGAAGAAATTAGGAATAACATTTAGGTGTTGTTTGAAGAAATGAAAATTAATTATTGAAAATTTTAATAGCTGAAATTTAGGTGTTAATCATAAATTGAAATTCCTTTTTATACTTTTTTGAACTTTAGTGTTCAGTGATAAGTGGAGTTTACTCACTTAAAATTTATCTCATTTTACGCGTCAGTTATTATTTTAAGAGATATTCATATTGTGTTATAACACTTATTGAATAAAACATTAATTTATTCAGAACTTGGGTTGTCAAACAACACCTTATTAGTGATAATATAAGAGAAACATGTTTTGGTGGTATGGACATACAAGTAGCTTGTTTTTTACTTCGAAGGAAAAATTGAAAATGAACTTTAAAAATTAAATATAGTAGGAAAAATGAATTGTAACAGGAAAGAATTAAAAAAAATGTATTCATGTTGCCGATCCCATTTATATGGGATAATGGCAAGGATGATGAGGATGATGCTTGTTTATTGTCCTAGGAGCAGATTAAAGCTTATACTCAAGCTGCATTTGCTTTCTCAAGTAGTTCTTTTCAAACAAATCACATGTCCAGCACTGTTTCGGTTATAATATTGACTGGATGATGTTGTAGAAGGCATATGAACTTCACATGGGATCATCTGAGGGTCTCACATGTCTGTTTTTGTGGCATGCCCTTGTTTTTTTTTTTACAAGTCAAAGCCACACTTGTGGAGTTGTGGTCATGTCGGTCGAAGGCTGTTTATGTTTTAGGCCCACCTTATTTTAACTTAAAATCTTTCTTTTCTGCTAATAAATAAAATCGACTTGAAGTTGGTTTTCATTGTTTATGGTATATCTACAATTAACACAGAGAAACTTGAACTGCCTCCCAATTTTGTTAATTTTAAATGTGTGAATTTAAAATCAGTCAGACTCATCCTTTCTTAATTTAGTTTCTTTATTTTGCAAAAAAAAGCCCTTTGAAGTTTGGATCCTACTGGTTGATCACACCATTTTCTGTCCCGTATCCTTTTTAAGTTGCATTCTTCTGATAGTAAGGCATTTTTGTAAATTTAGTAGATTAAACTGTTTGATCTAAGAAAATGGACCAATTTCTGACTCAGTCATTGTTGAGAAGTTCGTATATATCAGATCTATTTGTTTCGTACATTTATTTAAAGAAATTGAATCAAGGCAGTCTATCTTCTTCTCTATTTTATTTCTTTATTTATTTTTCAGTGTGTTGTATGCTACCGCCACGCGTTTGCTCTGTAAAACCTGGGAGATCAATGATCGTATCTTTGGAAGTTTACAGGTAAGATTTTGGTCGTGTGTAGTCTCTTGTTAACTATTGATGTGATATTGCTGCTCTCCTATTGTCTATTGATGCTTGAACATGCCATGGAAACAAATACAAGTAGTTAATTTATTTAATTTATTACAGTATTAATTTCCAATATTTTTATTGCAGTATTACAATAATACCACATAAAAGATGAGTTTAATAGTACTAAGGATTTTATTATCTTCTTTGTTATATTTATTTTTTCACTGTGTGTCAAGATTAATAGACTAATAGTTTTTGGGTCTTCCTAGATTGTTAATTGCTAGATGGCTGACTATATATAACTTTGATGCCGAATCGATATGGATATGACTAGCAGTATTGATCATTTCATGAATTATATAGATATGGCCATTTGGCTAAGCGACTAAGCGTGGTATCCATATCCATAGGCAGGATATCAGCAGAACTTTCATTGGTTTGCGCCAATAGGATTCTTGAAATGTTATTATAGAAGACTTGGAAGGACAAATTTAACCATTGGGTCAAATTCCATGAATATTGCATGACATATGTAAGTACTGTGAACAACTTACTCATGAGACTTCAAGTGTCCTCTTTCAGTTGGTTCAACAGTTCGTGTGACAAAAAAGTAAAAATATTTTTAAAAGTTTGAACCACATCAGAATTTCCTGGGGTAATAATTGCAGGTTGATTGTAATCTATGGTGGATCTAGTTTTAGATTAAATATATAAGGGTAAAGTGCAAAAAGTCCCCTTGAAGTATTGGCCATGTAGCAGAAAACCCCCCTGATCTAATAATTTGACAATTAACCCCCCTGAACTAGGGATTTGGTAGCAACGATCTGCTGGTGGATTTTGAGCGCGTGCAAGTTACCTGACAACCCAAATATAATTAAATGACCATACAACCCTTATGAAAAGTTAAAGACCATAATGCCCTTCTATGTATATCTTCCCTAAATTTCTCTTTCCCCATCTTCCTCAATTGATTTGTGGCTGGATGATAAATGTGTGTGTGTAATTGCAGGTTGATTGTAATCTATGGTGGATCTAGTTTTAGATTAAATATATAAGGGTAAAGTGCAAAAAGTCCCCTTGAAGTATTGGCCATGTAGCAGAAAACCCCCCTGATCTAATAATTTGACAATTAACCCCCCTGAACTAGGGATTTGGTAGCAACGATCTGCTGGTGGATTTTGAGCGCGTGCAAGTTACCTGACAACCCAAATATAATTAAATGACCATACAACCCTTATGAAAAGTTAAAGACCATAATGCCCTTCTATGTATATCTTCCCTAAATTTCTCTTTCCCCATCTTCCTCAATTGATTTGTGGCTGGATGATAAATGTGTGTGTGTATATATATATATATACACATATATATACATTTCATCTGTAAATGAGGTGTGAAAGAATATGTGTATAGATAGGGGCAAGATGGAAGAAGTTAAGAGTGTAAACATTGTAGAACAACCCAAGACATTGCTCTTTCATCTCTCTGACAATACAAGCTCATTGCCGGCAACCCAATCCACAAGACCCGTAAACCGAATCACAAAACCATGAATATTTTGTCACTGATCACCAACCAAACTTAATTGAATCATAAAAATCTCAACCCATCGCCAAACCCATATTATAACAGAACTTGCCGTCGAAATTTCACCACTACATTATTCTTACAGCCATTGCCATCGCCATCGCCGATTATCAAGCCTTTATCGTCATTGGTTGAGGGAATAATTATTTCTATTACCAAAGTGTATAGATAATATAAAGGAAAAAAATATTTCTTCTTGTTGCCATCGGAATTTCTCAGAGTCATATTCCTCACCAAATCTTTGCCGTAGTTGGGTCTGTTCCTTATCGCCGCTACTTTGCTGTGAGTTGACTCGATTGCTTTGTTAACACACTCTCTCTAACAACAAGAATTTCAAAATCAAGAATCACATAATAACTTTAACATATATATGAGAAGAGGAGGCCCTCTGTCCAAAAAACCCCAATCCAAGTAGAATGTGAATGGTTTGATTTGGAATCCAATTATGAATCTGATTAACAGAAAAATCACTATTTGCAGCTTAATTTCAAGAAAATCAATTCTCCAATATTGATAAAGCATATTGGGTCTCTGCAACACCTTCTATGAGTTAGAGAAAGAGCTTGATTTTGGGTCACACCCATGGCGTCGGAGGCATGGATTTGGTGATGTGAGTTCAGCTACCGCTGGAACATTATTAGTCTTTGTGAAAAGCTTCCCACCCATTCTCATACACATGGGTGGAGGGCTTAGTTCCCTACCTGATTCATAAAAGGGATCTCGACAGGTCGGAAAGAAGGGGAATTGGGTCCGGCTTATATTCTGACTGATTTCTCTAAGTCTACGGCGTCGGAGGCACGGATTTGGTGACGGAAGCTCAGTCGCCGGAGAGAGATGGTGGCAGATTGAGAATGTGGTGATTGGTGAGGATGGAGTAAAGAAGGAATTTTTTTTTTTCCAGAGACGGGGCGAACAGATGGCTTTGTTTGGCCTAAGAATAAAGATAGTGTTGGTGTGTGTTGTCAAAATATGATTGGTTACTTGAGATTGCTATCTTCCACCATATTCACTAAAGTGCCTTAAGTGTGAAACGACATCGTTTTAAACAAGGGTAAATGTGTCTATTGATTTTTCCAATCAACTCAATGGCCGGAATGTCCTTAATTGCACCAAATTGATAGTTCAAGGGGGTAAGTTGTAGTTCAGGGGGGTTATTTGCAAAATGCCAATAGTTGAGGGGGGTTTTTTGCACTTTACCCTATATATAATATTAGATATGTATATTCATATTTGATCGTTATTTGATTTTATGGTGAAAATTTATGGTATTACAGTGATTGGTGTTTTTCATGTTCTCATCAGTACACATTAAGCGAAACACAACATACTTGTCAAATATACATTTTATTTTAGTATCTTGATTCAAAACTCATGCATTAAGATCTATTAGTACTTCCCAAAATTTCTTTAAAAGATTCCATGATTTACAGTGATATCCATCAATTTTCAAAAGGTTTACTTTTGGTTTGCAATTGCGACATTTTCATCAATGACAGTATTTTTTTTTTTGAATTTATCCTTTTCATTGATATGCACATATGTATTGTTCCCCAGTTTCTGGGTTGGGCGAAGAAGAGTTGCCTTTTTCTACTAAGTTTTGCATTGTCCACAGGAAGGTAACTGCCAGGAATTTTTACCAATCTGCCAGTTTTTGAAATAAATTGTTGACCAAATATAGATCCCAAGTGAAGAGGTTAGTGTGGCTGTCAAAGACTGGGTGGTAATTTCGCAAGAATGCACCTAGCCAGGCCTAGCACATTGTACAACTTACTTGGGCTCTGACCAACCTACTAATTGGGCTCTGTAATTCAACCAAGGTCATCCATATATAGCCAGTCTTCATTTTGTGTAAAAATCACCTCAATTTTTATAAAGCTTGAAGCGGAATATTTAGTGAATAACTGAAGGCCTACAACTTGTCTAAGGTAAAATGATATGGAGAATTTAAATCAGGCAACCAGTTTTTGGCCTGTTCAAGTAAAGAACGTGAATGAGAGAGATTCCACAGTGAATAAAAACAAAGATCAGCCATGTAAATTTGTGGTCCTTCAAAATGAGCCCAAGTCTAGTTTGAAACTATGGAGGCTGGACAAACAGGGCCTCTTTGTCTAAAACTGCTACATCAAAAGCCATTAGAGCTTTGTATGTGAGTAGCAAAGTCAAAAGTGAACTGAATTGGTTCCTCGTGACTGCAGCCAACTAAATCAGAAGGAACTGCTAAAAATGGAACCAGCACCTCACCTGACTGAAACATCTAGTAGAATTGGTCTTTAGAAGTTAATATATTATATCCACAGGCGTCTTGGTTTTTGATATGCGAACTGTTCCAAGTAAATGCTGTATATTTATTTCATACAGTACTCCCCTGATTGGAAACTGTAAAACTTCACTATTGAGGTTCCAACTTGCATGACATTGCTTCCCTCTTTACTTCCCCCCTTTCTACAATTATATTTCTGATATATATATATATATATATATATATATATGTATATATATATATATATATATATATTCAATGGTAACCATCGTGTTCCTTCTGCTCAATGCTAGGGCTTACTACTTCCAAAAGGCTTCACTCAATTTATAACTGAGAGAAATATCTGTATAAGCATGGCTGTTTCCATTCGAGATGTTTGCAGGAAAAATCCTGACAGGGGCGTGGACCTCATCCTGTCTGTTTCGGTATGGGGTCTGGAAACTGGTTTGCTTGTCTTGCCCTTCTCATGTTGTTCTAAGTTCTCATATTTCTTCTTTTATCCAACAGGCTTGCATTGAGAGCCAAGATCCTATAATCCAAGCTCTCGGTTTACAAAGCCTTGCCCATCTTTGTGAAGCTGACGTAATTGGTAATGTTAGCATGCTATATATGCAGAATAAATGCAGTCTAGAACTTGAAAATATTGCTCTCTTGTGGCCTCTTTAAATACATAAGAATAACGTTTCATATTCTGTGTAACTATTGATGACAAAAAATGTGTAAGAATTCATTTCTTGAATTTTCTTTAATATTTCTCTTTATTAATGCTGAAAAGAGTAGATACTTTTGGGGCACTGAAGCCATTTTATGATATATGAGGCTGACTTGGAATAACATATCAAGCAATTTTTTATATAATTGACATTCATTTGCCCGCATTTTTTGTTTAAAAATTTGTAAATTGCTTTAAAATAGATGTTAGAGTATTCATGTAAAGTTTCATGTTTAAAAGCTTTACATATTTATTTGTATCTGCAGCAGCATTAAGCTCTTTTAATGATTCAAAAGTCACGACGAACCCAATTTGAGCTAAATTTAGTGCTTTCATATGCTATCATTTACCTTCCACCCCCTTCTCCATCTTCTCTTCTCCTGAAGTAGTAGCACTTGTTTTCAGCTGCTTTCCTCAAGTATTGAGGCACAAAATACTTAATCAAAAGAAGAAAAGAAAAAGAAAAAAGTATTGAGGCACAAAATGGGCAAGCTTGAGTAAATTTGCTTCACTTTAGTCTTTAGCTGATTTTGGTCTTCATTTCTTTTGTTGAAAGCCAAATTGAGATCCCTGAGTACCCTGCAATGATGAATGATGTATTTGAATTGATGTCATCAAGTGTTAATGTATAGATATCTATGAAGTCGGACAACCTCTTTGTCTGTGTTCCCAGGGCCAAAAGTTTTCTTGGTGAAGTCTTCGTTGAAGGTGTAGAAACTTTTCTTGAGACTGTTGACAGGGAAATACAGTTTTTGTATTCTTTTTCATCTTTCTAGTGGCAACACCAATTGTATCGGAAAAGTTATAACGCCTTCTGAACTCCAGAGTTTATACTTCTCTGATTGAAGAAGCAGAAAATTTACTGGAGATTTGTGTAGGCTGATTGTTAATGTGAACTTTTTTTTTTTCTTAGTTGGCACTCACACACACACATGCCTCCACTGAGGCTTGAACCCCTGACCTCCCTTTGGGAAGTAGGAGCCCGGTACCGCTAGGCCACTGGCCTGTTGGTTATTGTTAATGTGATATTGTCACCTCATTTTATTTATCTCATCATCCTCTCTGAGGAATCCCTCTCCATGTGGATTTTTGAGCTTTCTTTCTCCTCAGAGAAGTTTAGATTTTTTTGTTGAGTCTCCTTGTGTTGACATCAAATAACAGTTTAATATTCTTACATAAACACAATAGACAAGCTCTCTCATCTGAAACGTATAACTATAATTTTTAAGCCATATTGTTGGAAGCACTTCCCAGTTCCCAGTTGATAACTTTGTACTTTAACATTTGTCTGCAGTAAATTTTTTTTAACAAAGTTAAAGTTGATTTCTAGGAAAGGTGGCTTTTTATATTTGATCGTTTTATGAACTAGAGATTTTGATTCACCCCTATGGTATTCTAAAGGAATGCTGATATTATGTTTCTGTGTATTGTCCAGATTTCTACACTGCTTGGGATGTTATTGCGAAGAATTTGCTTGACCATTTAGAAAACCCAGTTGTTGCTCATGGGTAAGATGCATGGCTTACTTTGTCTGTATGCTTTTTAGTCTCCTTTCCATTCTTGAACTTCAATTATAAGATTGACGTGCGTTATGAAGTAAATAGGAGAAAATTTGATTCTCCTATTCCTGGATTTGGTGTTGTAGCCTCTATTACTTTGCTCCCGTGTTACTAAATATTCCTGGATTTAACAGTACTTTAATGGGCCTTCCAAACTCTAGGCATCACAAATTGAAAATACTGCAGTATATTTTTATTGTAATATTTCTTATTATTTGTTTAGATAATTTAAAATTCCGTTCTTCTTGATTTCATCAAAATTCAAATTGCTTCTATTTTAAGTTGTGATATTGCACATTAATTGAATGAAAAACTACAGGGGGTTTTGTTGTTTGTTTGTTTTGTTTTTGTTTTTTTTTCCCCTTAATGGAGGAAGGATAAAATTAAGTGAACTTCTTCAAGAACTTAGTTTGAAGTAGACACACGTGTTCATTTGTGCATTTAGGCATGTTTATCCATTGATTTTGCTTACTTAGCGAATGAATTGGGACCTAAAGGCCTAAAAGATGGTGAATCAACTGCTATCCCTTGACAATATATTTTAACCCAAATTTTTTTAGAGTCGAAATTCATATCTATATTTGGTTTCTTTATTTTCAATGTACTGCAGGATTACTAATATATTTTTCAAAAGTATAAGATGCACTGTATTTTTAAAAGCTTTTCTCTGGTGACTTCTGTTGAGTAGACTGAATTGGTCCTTTGTTGATTTTGTACATCATCTGAAGTTGTAAATTGAAGGCTTCCTCCCTCTGCTTCTACCCTTTGCTTATATGTACTTTATCCCTTTTCTTATTTTGAGTTCTTATTCATTAGAAAAAACGTCTTCCTAGACATATTTCTTGGTATGTGTGCCTTTCAGACCCTCCTCCCATCAAATGTTGAACTTGGTTTTCGCACATGCTTTATTTTGCCTTGTGTGTGTGTCTATGCCTGTATTTTCCTAACCATGTGTGCAAGTATGTTCTTATTACTTGTTCAATCATGACAGTTAGTACTGTGATATGGTTGTGTCTATGTATAGTTCTCCGTGTCAGTCGAGTCACTGAGACTCGGCTGAGTCATGACGGACTCAGCTGCGTCTGAGTCCGAGTCCCACCAAAATATCAGTGGGAATCAAAATCACATGAGACTTTTTCCGAGTTCCTCGACCCAAACTCAGCCGATTCCATAGGGAATGAGCCGTGTCTCTTTAGAGTCCCAAGTGACATAGTCGAGTTAGCACATTCGATGGTGTGCCAGGTTGATAAAATTTCACATCTGCGATAACCGTTTACTTTACGCACGATACAGACATCTGCATTTGCATCTTTGAATCATTGTTTATGAGATTTTTTGTTGCTCTATCATTTCTTTTGATCTGAAAATATTTCCGGGTTTCTTATTCTGTGTCAATGTACAGCTTATGTTTTCTTCTAAGATGGGGTGCAATGGATGCTGAAGCATACCCTGAAGCTGCGATGAATGTTCTACAAATATTGTGGGAAGTTGGAACCTCCAGACAACTTTGTCACGGCTCTCTATGGGTGAAGGCTAGGGCCTCTGCCTTTGAGGCATTAGCCCATTATGAGGTAAACATTGTGAATGGTTTTGATAAGATATTTTAAAATTAACTTTTTCCGATATTTTTCACTTCATTTCTTTCACAAACAAGCTACAATTAAATCTTATTTCTACCTTCTGCTTATCTTCCAGGCTGCTTTTTTGACTTCTCACTACATTTCATTTTGTTTATTCTGGTAAATTCATAATTTTATCTTGCTAAATCATGTGATGATTTTTTTAGGTACCGCATATTCAGGAAAGCATTCCAGATTTTAAGAAGAGGAACATGAAATTGCTTATTTATGAGACTGACCCTGAAGTACTTAGGACCATGGAAGGATTTGAAGTCAAGATTATAACACATGAGCACATGTTAAGAAACATTTTCTTAGTCTGCTACTTCACATGGTGAGGAAAATAATTGAAGATGCTAAACTGATAAGCTTTTGTCATTTTTCCCAGCACAAGGCGAAGATTGGTAAAAGAGAGAAGGGTCTCAGGAAACAAGATTGAGAAGTTGGTAGATGTTTTTCCTCAGGTTATTTTTAGTAAAGGTATCAACAAATTGTTGCTTTATATTCCTTTAATTGTGGCTTTCCAAAGAAAATATGGCCCTTATTCTAGTGTACAGTTTGTTGGTTTCTTTGTGGCCTCTTACAACTTTTCTGGGTAAAGCTGCTTAATCATTTTGAGTTCAAAGGATCCAACAGTTTTTACGTGCTAATACATTGAATATAAGAAAAAGGAAGGAAAGTGAATAATAGCATGGTAGATATGAAGTCAGAAATTTATAATAAAGATGTCATTCACCAAAAAGAAACATTGTCTAACATAAATTCAGGCCATCAGCAGAATAAATTAGATGCGGTTGATTATGTTAACAATGAAATACGGAGTTTACTGATTTCAGAGAAATATGCATTTATGTGACATGTAAAACGAAGCATTATTACTATTATTTGGATAAGTTCTAGAGCATAATAAGCATTTCATTTGCAGGAAATAACAGTAGAGCTAAAGAATTACCGGGGGCAGCCCTTTTTTGCCTTTCCTTCACTCCTAAAGATCTGAATAATCAAGGGGCATCAGAAGTAAGATTACTATGTCAGTGTTTTACACTGAAATTCTTTTTTTGGGACGCGTTTCCATTCTTTCTAAATCTGCCTTAATTAGTGTTCAGGGGTTACAAGATTTACAAGCTAGATATGAGAATGCATTAGAGGAAATAGCCGCATCTCTTCCGCTTTCAAGAAATATTCTGATTTCACTACTTTCACTTCAATCATGGAAACCTTTCATGCATCGTTGGATGAGGGCTCACATCACTTTCCTTGATGCTAAGTTTCCATCCACCATGTTGGATAAAACTTCCAAAGCTGCTAATGATATTCTAAAGGTGAGTTTGTCTTTTATTTTCATATGACCATTGATCTAGTTATATAACTTATATTTGTCGCATTTTTCAGAACTTTTTGAGTCAAGCATGCTATATTTTTTATTCTGATCTTCATGCAGAGAATGAGACGGATTGCAGAGGAATCCATCCCTAGATCTGCTGAAAATATTGCACTAGCTATTGGTGCACTTTGCGCGGTAAGAGCTTCTATACATTGGTACATTTTTATTTTAGATGCTAACTTTGTTTGCCCAAAAAAAAAGGGGGGGGAGCAGCCATCATCAGTTTCTATTCTGAAACAGCATATGTGAATACATTATATTTCTTGGAAATCGTGTGTTTTAAGTTATATTGCTCCCAAAGTTTTTGTATGATGACTTACCCAAATTAGTTGGTATTTGAAAAATTCAAAGTTTAGTCCAATGCTCATTTATTCTAGCACTTATACTTTAAACCATGAAAATATTAGCTTTCCTTGTGGAATTCATGATCTTTCTGAATATAACCTTTTGAAGTGACATAAATATGTGTTTCCTTTAACTTCTGCTTTATTATTTAACTTTCTTCTTAAAACTGGTCACAATGACGAGATATCTTTCCTGAGATAAATTCACCAATTCAGTACATGCATAAGATCAATTTGGATTCCAATGAACTCTCCATGTAACGGAATTTGTAACTGGAATCTGATCAGCCAGAAGCCGTATATATTGAATTTTGTGAATATTTAGTTGCAAAATGGAATTTGTAATGAGCTGCAATATTCTTAAATGGATGGAGTATCTGTGATGGCCTCATACGGTGCATATGTGGTGACTCCCACAGTTTGTCAGTGCCATCATGATTAATTAATTGCATGCTTTGAACATAATCCGGTAGGAATGTATTTTGGTGAACAAACCAGGATAAGAAGTCCATTGATGGAGTGTAGCTATGATTGCTTTTTAGGTTGCAATTTCAAAATTATTGATGTGGGGAATGTAAGTGTTTCCTGCTCTCTATGTTGTTTGCGTGATTGCTGGAATGTTGTGAATGAACATCTTTCCAGAGAAAAGACATCTCATTTGCATCTTCCTTTACATTGTGTGCTTGGAAGCGCATGTTGTTCAGTCCTGTTGCTTACAAGTGTAGATTCTTTTGACTGGCTTCATTAGCTCTGAAGAAATTATTTTCCGTTGTCTGCACTAATGAGACTTCGTGTGAGCCTTGGTGTGATTACTGTTGTGTCATGCTTGTTTATAATAGCTACTCAATTGTAAAAACTAGGAAGTAATCTTTCAAGAAGGGACTGACTGTCAAGAAAGAAATTAGATGATATACATTGCCTAAATCTTAATAATTGAGTTCATATTGTGAATCATGCCCCCCGATTTTTGTCCTCTGAGTTGATTCTTGTAAATCACCATTGTTTGACATGTTAAATTAACTGTGTTTGTAACTTATCAAAAAAAAAAAAAAGTTAACTGTGTTTGTAATTGGATTATGATTCCCCTATATAACATGCTTTGCTCAGTTCACTCCGTATGCTCTTTTTGTTATTTCAGGTCTTGCCTCCATCTGCCCACGTTGTTAAATCAACTGCTTCAAAGTTCCTTTTGAATTGGCTATTCCAGTATGAACATGAATACCGCCAATGGTCGGCTGCAATGTCTCTTGGATTAATCTCAAGCTGCTTGCACCTGACTGATCACAAGCAAAAATTCCAAAACATCAATTCCCTCATTGAGGTACACTGTTCTGGTTTTTTACTGTCTGGACCATGTTGCAGAAGAGAAGTCTGTTGAATTTACATAGTGACGTGGCCTTATTGAGTAACTACCAGAAGATTTTCTTTATTGGGTAGTTCTGCCCATCGTTTTTAAGGATTTGCTGGCATTACTTGGGTTACATTGATTAACCTATAGGCTAAGTCAAATCTGAAGACATTAGAGAAATTTATTTATATACATTTAGCATAGTAATCATTTCTTTAAATGATGAGAAACAAATTTGATTGGATAGGGTTCAATATAAGGGTGGAAATTTGAAAGTATAGTGTGTTTGTTTTGTTGGTGGGTATACTGTCTTTGTCCTTAGAGACGAAGAAAATGGATTCAAGTATCGAAAGCAAGGAAGGAAATAGAAGAACAACCAAAATCTCAAGGAAGAGAATAAAGTGGATAAGATTGTCCCTTGGCAGGATTCCATCTGTTTAGTAGGAAATTAGTTTCACCACTCAAGAGTGGTATGCTGAGGAATAATGAGCACCAACATACATGACCAAGTAAAAGATCACTTTCGTGTAATGCCTGATGGGAAAGGAATGTGAATCTTAGTTTGATGGTAAGATTTCTACCATCATGCATAAAGAAATTTTAGATATTGACTCCTTAAAATGCCACCAATTCTGATTTGGCTAGGTTCCATAAAAATTGAATTCAGTTTTGCCATATGATGGAGTCCATCTGCGAGCCTTACAAACTTGAAGCGGCTTGGAGGAACAACTGCCCTGGATCTTTATTTATAAAGGGAACTTAGGGAAGAGAAGGCCTTGAGATTCCGTAATTAAGACTAGGCCTGTTTTCTTCACAAAATTCAGAATTTTCACCATCCAAGTACATGATGGATAAAATAGTTGCCCTACTCTTTCCATCAATTCGTAAAGAATCTTCTAGCAAGAAAAAATGAATGTTATGGAGTTGTCCACGTAATACCTGCCATCTCAAACAAGTTTTTCGCTCCAACAAAGTTGCTGAGCAATGCAAACGCAGGTTATCAGTGATCCTGCATTCTGTACATATATGCAAGGTCTCCTTTTTGAACCATGCCATATAGTTTACCTAAAATGAACCACCTTTTTGAGCCAAATCTGAAATTAACCGAGGCGAGAAAACAAAGGAAAAAGGTTTAGAATTTTGTCAAATTAAAAAAGAAATCCACTAAAAGAATCCATTTGACTGAAGAAATGAGAAGATGGGGAAATATACCCCTTTAGGAGGAAGATATAGAGTTAAGTTGCTAATTTCACTTCATTCAACTTTTGAAGAAATTAAAAATTCCAGTGGAATGCACACTCCTATATCTAGGAAGGCATAAGAGATGGGAACTGCGAATTAAGGAGACTCTTGACACCCTCCGAAAATATATTCTAGGATTTTTTGTTATAACGTAATGTGGTCGGAGAAGTCTGGTATACATGAGTTATGAACTTTTAAATAGATTGATGTATTTCTTGTTGATAATCAAGTGCCAAAGAGAGTCCTGTTTAGCAACCCAACCTTCCGCAATGTTCCCGGAAAACACTTGAACCATACAAAAACCAATATTTTCTTTGGACGGAAACCTCATAGCTCAATCTACTGAGAAATCCTCAGTATATTGTTTTTTAATACTCTGAGGACCTCTACAGTGTGTTTGGTAGGGGAAAAGTGGAGGGAATGGGACGGAGGGAATAGGAGGGAGGAGCTTCCCCAGTTTGGTAGAGGGGATTCTTAGCTTCCGTCCAATAATACTACTCACCAGTATAATGGCCTAACAACATTACTGAAAGGAGAAGGATCCTCTTCCATCCAATTTTCTATCCTTTTTTAAAACCCTAGTTATAGTTGGGCCTGAGTTATAGTTGAGCGATACCCTCCTCCTCTATATGTCCTTGTCTCAGCTTGTTGCATTTATCATTTCTTCTTTCTTATCTCTTACATATTAGACCTGGATTATCTTCATTTTCTATATCACATGTGCTCTTCAGTTTTTCTTTTCTGTATTGTAATTTGTTTTATTTCCGGAAATGCTTCCAAATATCAGTGTTACATTTGGTTGTGGGTGATTTAAGTAAGCAATGGTTGGATGCTCTCTCTCTCTCATAATTCATTGTTCTGGAGATTTTAAGATTTGTTGATTTGTGTTTTCCTTGTTTGGTATGAGATGGACTTCCTAGTTCTTTTATGTCAGTTTTTGAAATGTTCATATCTTTCTTCGCAGTTTTCCAGATGATCCAGGACATGAATATGATTTTGTATAACACAGGTTCCTTTTAGTAACAAGTCAAACATACTGTTTTAAGTTACTTGCGTGTTGTTTAAAGACGTCTTAATAGGTTGATATGGAGCAATAATTCATAGGTAGATTTTTGTTCAATTTATGCTGGAAACTACTTGCCCTCTCTCTTGTTCCTCTCTTTTTGGTAATTTAGTATATAAAATGTCCCTTTTGCAAATTGAAAGTTAGTTTATCATGAAATTTAGTAAAGAAGGAATGTGATAATCACATGGGAGGATAATTTTATTTTGTGTTCAAAAATGGTTCAGGTGTAATTGCTGTTTGTTTCTGGTTTCAGGTTGCATCTCGCAGCAAAAGCGTCCTTGTAAAAGGAGCTTGTGGAGTTGGATTGGGTTTTTCATGTCAAGGTCTTCTTACGAGGGTTGAATCTGCAGATGGCGCCAAATTGGACAAAGAAAGCTTCAAGAATCAGGAAGCAGACTTGCTATTTAAGATTGTCGGGGCCTTATCTCAGATGATAAGTCAATTTTCTCATGCATCATATGATGTTCTACAAAGTCTCTCTGCATATTTTCCGCTGGATACTGTTGATATTGATTCTGATATGACTTCCAATTTGTCGGTTGAAAACTGTGATGACTTGGAAGAAGATATATGGGGTGTTGCAGGACTTGTCCTTGGTTTGGGGAGTTCTGTGGGCGCAATCTACAGGGCCGGAGCTCATGATGATGTGCTTAAGATAAAAGCCTTAATCATGTCATGGATTCCACATGTAAATCCTTCACTTCTGAACTCTTCTATCAGTGAAAAATTTGAGATGGTATTATCAGTGGGATCTTGTCTTGCACTTCCAATCATAGTGGCATTCTGCCAGAGAGTAGAACTGATGGACGATGTGGAGCTGGATCATCTATTGAGAGGCTATAGGGAGCTCATTTCTGAATTACTTTTTGTAACAAAATCTGGCACCTTTTATCAGAGCTTGTTGATGGCATCGTGCATTGGAGCAGGAAGCCTCCTTGCCTGCATTTTAAATGAAGGGGTGCACTCTATGGAAGTTGAACGTGTAAAAGATTTGCTGGCATTGTTTAGAAAAAGTTACTCTAATCCTCATCCTCCTCTTATTCATTTTGGTGGAATGCTTGGAGTTATTAATGCATTAGGAGCAGGTGCTGGGAAATTGTTTCATGATTACCCTTCTAAGTCTTTGCATAACGCTTATGATCTAAAGGTGATTATATTTTGCTACATTACCAAACTTATTGTTTTTTTTTTTTTTTTTAATTGTTTATATATTTTCCAACAGGAATCTTCTTATATCATGGGTCCGCTACTTTCAAATCCTGTTTTGGAGCCTGATTTGACGTTATTGATACAAGAGATGTTTCTTGTTGCACAAAATTCTGAAGACTGTCAGCTGCAACAATATGCAGCATGGTCAATTTCATTTCTTAGACATGGTATGTGGTCCAGAGAAGTTCAAAAAATTGGCAGTAACTTCCAAAGTGATGCAGTTGATTTGAAGTCTGTGTCTCAAAGTTTTCCAGAGGAAAGCGTCGTCATGCAGCTTTCTTTGTGGCTAATGCATCTTAACTATATTGAGGTAGGTCTCTTTCTACACCAATTATGGTCCAATAAAATGTTAACGCAAAGAATTTTTATTATTTCCCGAGCATTTTTTCTCTAAAAAGGGATATTTATTCATGTGTTTACTTCTTTTCTTTTATTTTGACATGTGACATGATATCTGCACTACACAGAAGTAGACACGGATTCTTGGGCTTCTGATTGATTTTCATAGTTCTAACTTGTCTCTCATGCGCATCAAAATTTAAATGAGCTTCTATGGTATAATTTTTTTTATTTGAGTGGAAGGAGTATTTCTTAGCTGCTTACCAATTTTAGAATAGTTATCATCCCTTTAGTAAGTCGACATTTACAAAATCATGTTTTTGTGGTTACTGCTTATTCTCTCTTTTAGTGAACAGGGAAATCAAAAGTTAGTTACTACTGATGTTATAATACTGAATGTAAGGAATTGCATCAAAATCATATTATCTAGGTATGACTGGAAGTTGTAGTCTTTATTACCTGCTCCTGCTCGGCCGTAGTTGAACTTGTGAAATCGAAATAATCCCTTAGTCCAGCCTCTGTGTGTAAGATCCTTGTAAGAACTCTCCCTCGCCTAATACCTATTGTATCCCTTTGCCCCAAGGTTACGTTATCTGTGCCTTTGACCAGTCAACCTTACAACTCTGTCAAAGTCAACGATGAATTTGACTCGTTTGGTTGACCATTCAGACAGGAGTAGACTGGACACAAAAGAAAACAATAGACTCGATTCAAGGAAAGCGTACAAAAGAAAACAATGATAGAGTGGATTCAAGGGATGTAAATTCTACTTATCATCCTTTGTTGATATCGTAATAACATTCAGATGGTCACCCTCTTCCTTGTCAATCTCCTGTTTAAGATAATTCGCGACTCAACTCACCTTTTCCCACTTATTTGGAATTACATGAATCGTCATTCCACTCTAATGCCAACTCCTATTCAAGATAATAATGTTCCAAATTTGCTAGGATTTAGAGAGACCGATTTGTCTGTATGAGATAGTTAAAGTCCATAGTCAAAATTTCACTAGATTTTCTGAAATTCCCCTGTAGGATTGCAAATCAATTGCAGTCCACCATTGACTAGTCAAAGTCATGGGTTCGAGAATAATTTTCTGAAATTTTGGGTATCCAAGAGGAGAAATTTGCCTGTATGAGTTAAGCTATCTTGGAAGACTACTTTGTTAGTCCTTTCTGCCATCTATTCTCTTATTAGCTTTCTCTTCCCTCTTACCTATTGCACCCCTTTACTCGAACTGTGCAATTGATCTCCCAAACTCATGGCATGGACTAAGTCAATGATGGAATGGGCTCATTTCTGGATTCAAGGGCAAACGACAATAGACTGGATTTGGCCTGCAAAACTTTTACTTATCCTTCTTAGCTGATCTGATAATGACATTTTGATTGCCCTCTTCCTCTCATGCTCTGCAAAATAGATTTTAGGAACAAATTATCCAAATTACCGATTTTTGTCTATTTATCTAGCATTACAGGACTAATCTCTTAATAGTCCTTTTTGCTGTCTTCATACTAGTAGGATATGGAATATGTGCCCTTGTCCAATCTAAATCATGACTTTAATGCTCCGTTTGGTTGGAGTGATAGAAAAATGGATGGAAGGGAGAGGGGAAGGAATGTATGAGGTATCCCTAGGGGAAGGAAAGGTGTCTCTCTCACTTTATGTTTGTTGAAAATGATGAATGGGGTGACACGCTTTTTTTGTTTGGTTGGAAGGAAGGGAGAGATAGTTTTTATATCTTTTTACAAATATACCCTCATTATTTAAATTATTAAAAAAAAAAAAAAAAAAACTAGAACAGATAAGAAAACAATTTTGGTATTTTATAGATTTAGGTAGTTATTCACTCTTTCCCATCTCTCTTCTGCCCAATTTTGGATGGATAAGAAAACTTAAAGCAAAGAGGGATGAAACATCCCTCCTTGCTTCCTCCCTCTCTTCCCTTCCTTTCAACCAAACATGAGAAAGGCTTGTCCATCCCTTCTCTCTTCCATCCTCTCTTCTATCCTTCCTCAATCCATCCCTCCAACCAAACATAGCATAACTGTTAGAAGATGTTATATTTGAAAAATATTATTATAGGAACCCTTAAATTACTCCTTGACAGAATATTTGATATGAGAATATCATAGGAGAGATTTTAGCCTATGATAGAATATTGATTGGAGTGATTTATGGTATTGATTTTAGGAATCTTCCATTAATGTATTTTCCATATTTATCACCTCTATTCTTTCACCAATAAATAGAGGTGATCATTGTATACAAAGATTAAGAGAGAATATATTATAAAGTGATGTAGCCCTTTGGGCTCTTTGTGCCGTGTATGTAGGCCCTAGTGGCTGAACCACGTAATATCCTTGTGTTCTTCGTGTTTCATATCTCTCTTCCCTTCTGTTTTATGCATTACAACAATAACTCAATGGTGGATTGGACTCTTTTGGTTGACTGAGTCAATAGCTATAAATTTGTAGAATTGTCAGCCCTTGAATCCAGTATATGTGAATGAATTAAAAGCCATTTGCTTATCAAAGCCATGAATTTAACTAGTCAAAGATCCTTTTGTTTCTTTGGGCTTCGCTCCCCTTTTTGAGCGTTTTTAAGAAAATCTTACTTATCAAAAAAAAAAAAATTTAACTAGTCAAAGATATGGATTGGTATCCTAGTGAATGAGGGACACGATAAGTAATAGCTCCTAGAGGATAGACAACACAAAGGACTAATGACCTTGTTTTTTTTTTTTATTAAGATCACCTTTCTTATATAAAAAAATAGGTCTTTGTGGATCCTCAAGCAGTGAAATGTATCTAGCTGTTCTGTTTTGTTTGTTGAGAATTTTATGTATGCAACACTCTTCAGTACATCATATGTGCTGCTAGAGTTATGACATTTTTGGTTTCCTAATTTCGATTACTGTTCTGTATTGAAATGTTCTCTTAAGAATGAGATTGTGAAAGACAGGACCATGGGAATGTGTTATCTGATCAACCAAAGAGGATAAGTAGAATTTGCAACCCTTGAGTCTAGTCCATTGTTGATTTTGCAAGATTTTGGACCCTATGATATTATGGAAAATCTACAAGAAAACTCTTTTTTTGATCCTAAGAGGGGGCAAGGGAGGGTCTTGAATGAGTGATGGGTCCTCAAGCAGTGAAAGGTATCTAGTTGTTCTGTTTTGTTTGTTGAGAATTTTATGCATGCAACACTCTTCGGTACATCATATGTGCTGGTAGAGTTATGACATTTTTGGTTTCCTAATTTCAATTACCATTTTGTATTGAAATGTTCTCTTAAGAATGAGACTGGTGTTCCAATCAGAGGTAGCATGCTGAAACTTTGCTTTGTAAATCATCATCTATGCGCTGCTATTTCTTTCTCCATATGTGAATTTGAATATTAAACTATGAAGATAAGTTGCAATTATGTTTGTGTTAAGTTAGCAAAGCCAAGACATGCTCTTAGAAGCCACTGGAGGAAGCTTGCCGTGGTAGAGACGTGGCCGGAGTCTACTGCTCCGACCAGTCACCAGAGTCTTTAACTACGGTGAAATCCTCTGCTACTTTTCTTTTTTCTCTTTCTCTGTTGGCTCCGTTGTTTCGTTGGTCGTGGACTTGTTCATGAAAGCGCTCGATAGTCAAAAGTTGTCTTATTTGGAGGTTGCCCGTCTTCCTCGTCTGGATTTGAAAGGGGAGGTGGAACGAATTTCTTCTCAGAAGGATCATGTGTTTAGGGTGGATGATCTCAGCACTTCCTCTCGCGAACAGGTTCTTAGGGCTTGCCTTGTTGGGAGTTTTGACAGAGAGGTGGGATCCTTGGAGGAGATTGAAGATTGGGCCACGAAGACCTGGTTGATTTCGGGCGGGGTTAGGGTTAACTCCCTGCCGGACGGGTGGTTGTTGTTTTGGTTCCCGTCGGCGTTGGAGGCTCATAAGGTCCTTGATTGGGGCAGAAAGTTTGGGGTGAGGCTCAGCTTTTCATCGATCTCTGGTACTACAGGGTTAGGTGCTCTGGTTTGAGGTTGAGGAATAATTTTCGGCGAGTCATTTTGTATGGTCTGCCGCTGCACCTTTGGTGCCAGAAGCTTTTTGTCGCCATTGGGGATGTGTTTGGAGGTTTTCGGGAAGTGGAAGCCTTCGAGATGAGCGACACGGAAAGGATTGTGATTACTGTGGCTAACGGTGGTGTGATTCCGGCGAGTATAGTGGTGGAGGATGGCCAGTGGGCATTCAGAATCTCGTTATCTGAAGAAATTGCTCTGATCATGGTCTCGCTGACTGGGACTAATTCTGGAAAAGGTGTCTTGGGACCAATGGCGGCATCGGCTGCCTTCCGTCCGGTTCGCAGATCTGGTGGTGGAGGTAGATCTAAGCCGGAGCTCCAAAAGGTGGAGGTGCAGCACAGCCGGACTCAAGGTCAGGGACGTAGGAGACGCCACGTGCCTCAGGCGGATGGTAGTGGAAATGAAAATTTTATGACACGTGGTTGGAGGAGGAACGATGCACGTTATGAGTGGAAGACAGCTGCCCCTCCTCGTGCTGAGCCACGTGATTCTCAGCGATTTTTGAATTCTAATTCTAATTCTTTTGGGCCTGATGGGGTTGGGCCTTCTCATTATGGGGCTCACATTGAGGGTTCGAAAGGGACTAGGAGAGATAAGCATGTGTGGAGTGGGTCTAGGTCATCTTCTAGGCCGGGGCGGCTCTCAAAGCCTGTCAAGAGGGATGGACGCCTCAAGCTTTCTGGGCCTATTGTTGTTGCTAGACCAGCCCAGGTTAAGCCAAGTTTGGTTAAGGAGAGTGTGGTCAAATGGGGCCCAAATAAAAGCCTTTCAATTTCACTCCAAGGTGGGCAGCCCAATTCAGGAAGGAACCAGAGTCATTCTTTTCATGAATCTCATCAGGAAACGTCTTAGAAAAGCTCGGCATCACGTTCTTGGTCGAGGAGAGATAAGACGAATTGGACGAAGTT